GGGGTGCAAACAGACAACCAGACAACAGACCTCTTCCCAGTTGAGTAAGCAGTGTTCGCGCTTTCTTCATAGCTCGTGGCCCTCCGTGGATAGCTCCAGGTCGGCGCACATCATCGCTCAGGAGTTGCACTATCTAATTTGAATTAAAAGTTGGTATGGTTTGAAAGAACGACACATTTGACCAAGATACACTGCGGATGGCTAAAAAATGGTCGATAAAAGTATGCACCTGATTTTCGCGGATTTTCAGCTGCGCATCAATATTGGAATCCTTCGTGGGGCACTGCTTCCACTCGTGGATAAGCTCCACAGCCTGATCAAGATCTCTGGAACTCAAAGCCAATAAGACAGTAAGATTAGCGAAAAAAAATTGCGAGGCACCTATGAGCAATGCAGTCGTCCAGTTCTGCGGGTAACTCTTGCAACCATGCCATCTCATCTTGGTCTAAACGAGTTTTAATGGAGGTTAGAGTTGTAGCATTTGACCCAACCAGCAAAAAACTTACTGACTTCTCCTTCGTCGTTTTCCTGGATTGTTTTCGAAGTTGCTGGAGTTTGTGGTGTTCGTTGAGCCCTTTCCTGTAATATCATTTTTTGAGATGATTAGTAAATCTCGGAACAAATCAGAGCCGTATGTGAATTGACCAAAAACAAGATAAATTAACCTGAACAGTCATTCTCTTTCCGCGAATAGTGCTTTGACGAGCCAAGATACCCTCATGTAATATGTCTCGCTTAGCTCTTTCCAATTCATCAAGCCACATTTTCTTCACTCGTGCGCTATCACATCGGTAGTATCTAAACTGTCTCATTGAGAATGTGGAAGTTACAGTTGGCGGTCATTTATATTGCACTGACTGATATAAAAAAATCTGTACCTCTGCTCCGGAAACACTAACAACTTCAACAACTGATCAGCAATGGCAGGCCCGCTCTCTCGATCCTTTACGTTTACCACTGCCAGATTATTCAGCGAAAATGTAGACTCTAAGCTGAAAATTCCAAAGTGATCGTCAAATCCATAATCCTTTTCAAAAGGTGCATACCTATACTTTCCAGATGGAGTGATATTTCCTATCAAAAGCCTATCAGAAAGTAGCACCAACATCGCACGATGTATGTCTTCTTTCGTTTCTGGATCCAAAAGCATCATTTCACCGTAGAGCAGTACTTTATCAGTACTTCGCATATTGTTGAGGATACTCTGAACCACCAAGATAAAGCAAAACCTCTGATTTGGAACATTTCACAATGCTAGATATGGTATTTGACAAAGATATTTCGGTTGTTTCCATCCCTACTGTTCTGTATTTGATACCACTAGGTCGGATGTGATAGCGCAGTTATGTGTTGATGACGCCTGTTAGGGTGACAAGCAATGCAAAGTACAAACCTTGACGGTTATGACATGATCTTGACGCTATCACAAAGGAAAGGTGAACGATAAGTTGCAAAACAGCGAGCAAAGATGTCCCAATACCGCCTGCACCAATGATAATATTGATCATTGCGACATAGATCGCTAAACTGTCTGCTCCGAAAAAAGGTGCCATTATTGCTAGCGACGTGGCTCATTTTAACTTCGACATTTGGTTAAAGCAACGACATGGTTTTTTTTACAGAATTGTCAAACATAGCACAAAAGCGGTAAGTGTGTGCACGAAGAAGAACCTATGCGAACTCAACAGGCTCTACATAGCTGCATTCTCAATGTAACGTGAAGGCAAAAAGGTCGTAGGATAGTAAAACACTTCTTACAAACCTACTATTTTCTATAAGCTGCTATGCAAAACGCTTGCATTTAGAGCCTAGTATTAAAGCGGGATGGAAATACCCGCGACTCATACCATATGCGCTCATACCTGAAGAAC